TTGTTCACTACTAGTGTAAAATTTCTCTTAGCTGTATCCCGATTGTTCACTACCAAAATAATATTTCTATTGACGGAATAGCTCTATTCCAGTCGTTCACTACAGGGGTTAAATTTCTTTTGGCTGACTGTCTCTACTCCGATCATTAAATTTAATTTATTCAAAAAAAAAAAATAAGCACAACACTCTCAATATACAAATAGAGAATAAAGGTATAAAGGTATACAATCTCTTAAAAAAGGAAGATTCACAAAGTTATTCGAGCGTGTATCACAGATAAATATATTATTAAATAATAAATAAATTAATTAATATTTCCTTCTTTACGTATTATGCAATTTTAACCTTTTTTAAAGATGTTATAGCATTTAATAAATATTTTTCAACTCATACATTATATATATATAGTTACTTATTTTAAGTATAGATTATAAATATACTTTCTGATTCCTCTATATGAGTTATATATACTTCTAATATTGACTTAATATGTATATTTTATTACTAAAATTGTAATAATATTTCATTTAGAATATTATTGTAAAAGTTTGGTGCTTGATACAAATAAAATTTTTTAAAGATTTTTTTGTTCGCTTTAGAAAGTTTTAAATTCCCTTGTTCTTCAGCTCCTCTTTGATATGTTGATTTTATATTTTGCCAACTTTGAATATATTTACTGAATCTGTTTAATGGTTTGTAAATATGTATCTTACGCAGCGGTAATATATTTACATTTTGAAAGTGTAACTTAAAAATACCATACTGTGATAATGATAATAATACATCTGATAATAGTTTTGTAACTGTATTAAAACTCTTAAATTTGTTAGATAGGTACCTCTCCAGCATATTGATACCATACCGTAGAATTGAATCAAACCAAGCAGAATAGATATTTCTCATTTAATTTTCAGATAAATAATGTTTCAAATAGTAAATACTTATTACTGATATCTTTATTTTTTTTCTGTTCATTCAATGTCTTCTTTCCAACTTAATCTTTAGTCAAATATTGCTCGAAGATACCTAATACTTTGTGATTTTTGTAGAATCGAATTACTATTTATATTACCCTTGATAGACAAATATTTACATTCTCAGACTTGTTATTATAGAGTAATACTGCGTTGTCTGCAAAATCTATCATTTCTCTATTAAACCTAATTTCACAGAAATCATTTAAATATAATAAAGATAGTAATGGACCAAAAGATGATTCTTAGAGTACTCCAGCAGGTAAGTTGATTTCATCGCTCATAACATTATTTATTTTAACCACGTGTTTTCTTTTTAATGTATATGATTTATACCAACTTAAAACAGTACTTCTTATTTCAATTTCATGAAGTTTATTGAGCAAAAGTTCTTGGAAGATCGTGTTAGAAGCCTTTAATATATCTAGAAAAAGAGCACAAGTTACCGTAGCATCATTAATCAATTGATTTAATATATTAATCACTGTAATTAGTGCATCTTCTCTGTCCATATTTTTACGATACTCAAACCGACGATTAAAAAAAATCCTGAATCTAAAAATTTATAATCTATAACTAAACTAAGCCATTATAGATTCGTAATATATTTTTTATATTTTTCTACATAATATTTCTTTGTTGTCACCCATGGTGTTAGCGTTTTTTTTAACGTTTATTTTTATATATTCCTAAATGTTGTAGTTGAATTTATAAACTAGCTAGAAAACCCGTCGCTTGAACGGAAGTTATGTAAATTCATGATTAATGAAATGTTATCTTAGGACATGAAAAGTTGCTTCCCATATATACAATTGTAAAAAACGCAAAGACGCTTATAAAAACTGCAAAACACAAAATGTGAAACCGCAACTTTACATGTATTTTCGCATGGATCCAACAAACCATCATGCCAAATTTGGTAAAGATCCACCAACAGGAGGCGAAATAGTGGTAAAAAACGCAAAAACATCCATAAAAACAGCAAAACATAAAATATAAAACTGGAAGTTTCTATGTATCTCCTCATGGACACAATGAACCTCCAAACCAACTTTGGTGAAGGTCCATCCAAAAGAGGTGAGGTAATTGTAAAAAACGCAAACGCTCACAAGAACCACTAAATACAAAATTCAAAAGTGAAAATGTGTATGTATCTTCCCATGGGCTCAATTAACCACCATACCAAATTTGGTAAATATCCATCTACAGGGGAAAAAGTAGTGGTAAAAACGTAAACATGCCTATAACAACCGCAAAACTGAAACTTTGTATGTATCTCCCCATGAACCCAACAAACCTTCATGCAAATTTGGTGGACATCCATCAAGAGGGAGAAAAATAATGGTAAAAAAACGCCCATAAAAACCGCCAAACTTAAATTTGTATCTATCTCCCCATGGACCGAAGAAACATACGAACCAAATTTGGTGAAGATCCATCTAGAGTGGGCGAAGTAGTGTTAAAAACGCAAAATGCAAAACTGAAACTTTTGTATGTATCTCCCCATGGATCCAATGAACCTCCAGACCAATTTTGGTGAAGATCCAGCCACAACCTGCAAAGTAGTTACATGGACATACAACAGACAATACTATTATATTTATATAGATTTATAATACAATCTTTATATACGTCTCGTATATTTAAGTTTTCATAGAAACTACTGAAATAATTTAGTTTTATTATTGTATTGATCTGTTTTTGTAACTTATTTTCAATGCCTAATTATTATGTAAATTATTATAATTACTTTTATACATAATTTTGTTTTATAAATTAATTCTAGTTCAGTACCAGGTTAAAAGTTTTATTGAGTGACTGTCTCTATTCTGACAGTTCACTACCAGCGTAAATGTTTTTGATCATTTGTCTCTTTGTATTTTTTCTGATCGTTCACCCCTAGAGTAAAATTTCTATGGACTCACTGTCTCTGTTCTGGCCATTCATCATCAGAGTGAAATTTCTATTTACTAATTAAAATTGGAAAAGAAAATTTGGTTTCTAGCGTTGTAAGTCCCCAGGCATATCACTGTGCCACTGGGGAGCAAATTCACTAAAACTGAGTGATAATTTATATTTTTCTTATCAAACAACTTTATTTATGGAGCCCTCTTTCAGTAAACTATAGATACCAACGATATTCTGGATGGGAAAAAACTTTATACAACTCAACAGGAAACAAGCCAAGGGTATTAGACCTGTTCACCTGAAATCCTGAACTCGCAGTGATACACTGATTTAAATAATTTCACTTCAAGAACGCAAACCAGGTAGAACCCGTCTGTTTGTGGGGGGTGGGGGCATAAGAATCGAAATAAATGAAACCCATGAACGCACCATAGGTTCTTTAGGACTGAATATATCTTTACTAACTACAAATGCAAAAATACTTATTAGGGAACACAGCATATAAATATATATGAACAAAAGAATATGGTCAATACAAAATGTAAATAACTTTCTTCATCCTAGACATATATACTCCAACACCTAAGTATTTAATACCTATCATTTTATTCAACTTCACCAAGGTGTATCACGTTGTGGTAGTTGTCTATATATAGAACCGACAGTTATCATAGTCGGTATACGATAGAAATAGATTTCATTATCCTTATCTTACATACTCAAGGATTTACCACACCACAGAAGTTTAAAACTATATCTGTTACCTCTGAGTTCCTTCATGTTCCATGTTTTAAATTATCCTTTTGTTTTTAAGACCAGATTACCTTTAGTTTGTTCCCTTCATACGTCACCCCCTCCATTTCAAGTCTGACCATTGTGCAGACTTTCTTTAACAAGGTCCCCCTAAAACATTGTGATGAGTTTAGCCGGTTAGAAATAGACCAGATACGCTAATGGTCATATATTCACACAGGCTATGATATTTTTCTTAGGGTATTTACTTGGAACTTGCCACTTACTAAATAAGACATAAGTTTGTATGTGTTTCTGTATTTTTTGTTTGTTTGTAGTTAAGTACAAAGCTACACAATGTTATGCTGTGCCAACCACAGGTATCGACATATCCGGTTTCTATCGTTATAAGCCCGCAGAAATTTATAGTAATTTACATTATTAAATGTTAATAATACAATATATACTTTTAGTTATTTATAGTATTAACTAATTTGACAAAGAACATTTAATTTTTTGAATAGTAATAATTACATTGGATAAATGTGATAAGTATAAACATTTTGCTTTGTTGCTTGGCGAAGCAAATCCAACCTCATCAGGTGTTCTTGGGTTAATGGCCAAAAACACCGCTAGAAGCGAGGGTACACAACTGATGACCTAGGGCTGAGTGATCATGGAAGCTTTTTTGTAATTTTCTGAATATTCATAACTAAGAATATATATTATTAATTGCCATCATTATTGTACAATTCTAAGCAGCTCTTTTGGTAGAAGTTATTATATAACTGATAAATGTACAATACCATCATTTGTAGCAATGTTGTAGTTTTTTATCAAAAGTTAGAGTATGATAGCAGCAACGTAGGGTTTCCCGAAGTTTCAGTATTACTTAACAAAATCTACATCCACTCCATCGGGATATCAACCAACAAAAAGTCAGGGTATGGTAGTAGCAATATAAGGCTTCATGAGGTTTCAATGTCATGTAAAGAGATCTACATCTACTCCATCGGGATATCAACCAACAAAAAGTCAGGGTATGGTAGTAGCAATATGAGGCTTCACGAGGTTTCAATGTCATGTAAGAAGATCTACATCCACTCCTTCAGGTTATCTACGGACAGAAAATCAGGACGATAAACATAGTTTTCTGGGTGCAAACGATCTTGACAAATACTTCTTTTGTGTCAGAATAGATTTGAGATTATAGAATAACGAAGGAGCCACGTTCTTTGCAGCTAAGTGTACAAAACCCACATTTTATAGTTTGAAAATACGAATGAGCTGTGTTGATAGTAGTCACGTGGTTTAAGAACATCCCACCACCCCTGATTATATGTAGACCGGACCTTGATTCAAAGAAGCAAAACTGGCGTTCGATCTGCAGACATTACTTTCCAAGCGAGTTTGTCTTGCCAACGCAGTCAGTGTTTCTTTGATCCAGAGATTCATCATTGACTTATAGCCTGCGCTCGATTCTCTACTGGTGGATTGTAAACTGCGACTGTAAGTGAAATAGTTCGTTTTGAAACTTTAATACATTTCTTATAAACAATATATATAAAAGTTGAGTTTATTATTTATTCTAGAAAAATATATGCTATTTTGTCGTCTAATTTACCCTGTCATTTAATGTTCTACGTAATTTTACAGATAGTTAACAATATCTAAACAAGTATAAGGAAAAAAAATCCATAAATAAAAAAACTATGTAGGGCTGTTTACTGAACTTGAAAAAAGGAACCAAGCAAGATAGGGATGAAAGAGGACATATCACTTGATCGGCTAGCGATCACATAGCACACTAAGTTGTCTCGACTTTACATGAAGAATAAAATCCCTACTTTATCTATCGAAAACTTGGTGTTTGAATATAATCTCAGCTTTCATCACTATACATTTTTTTAATTAACTTTACAATACTACTTTTATGACTATTTTAGAACAGAGTAACATTTTACGATTGGAAATTCTGTTTCTATTTCTTTTATCATTGAGGAAGCCAGTATTGTAGGAGTTTTATTCACCATGTAAAGTCTAGACAGCTTAATCTGCTATATGATCATTAGTCGATTAAGTGATATGTCCACTTTCATCCCTGTCTTGTTTGGTTCTTTTTTTAAAGTTCAGTAGCCAGCCCTACAAAGTTTTTTTTTAGTTAGAGATAATTTTTTCTTATATTTCTATGTTTGCTTTTTTATAAGATGGTGTACGTGGGTTACTAGGTTTTAGAATGTATTCTAAAGCCTTATAAATATTGCATATAATAGTATTAAAAGAAGTAGTCCAAGATCGTGAAGACTGTTTCGCTATATCAAATTATGATAAAATTGTAGTTACTGCTAGAACTAAGTCGAAACTAGACCTGTTGAAGAAATATGATGAACGAAAATAAGAAATCTCGGTTTTGGCTATTCGTCGGTTTTCGACTTTGGGACGCTCTGAATAGCTGAAAAGCGGTATGTACAACGGAGATAGAGCGACTATGCCAGGTAGCTCTTCATATCGAGCTT